TGTGTGTGTGTGTGTGTGTGTGTGTGTGTGTGTGTGTGTGAGAGAGAGAGAGAGACAGAGAGAGAGAGAGAGACAGAGAGAGAGAGGGAGGGAGGGAGGAAGAGAGGGAGTATGAGTGTATAAGAATATTTTAGAGTATGTGAGCATGAGTGAAAGAGTGCAAGGGTATGTGTGCGCATGTGTGAGTGTGTAAACAAACATAGTGACAGTGTGAATGTATGTGAGTGTAGGCAAAGAGTGATGATTTTACTAGTAATCTTAAAGAATAAGAGAATATATGCAAAGTTACACAGCAAAGGAGTATCAGTGTTAGAGAATGGAAAACAAGCCCAAAGGTGGCCCCCATCAAAGAGTTTTGGTGAACAACAGGTTCACAAGAACAAAGGTTTTCTGCATTAAAACCAAGAGAAAAAGGTGAGTCTGAGTAGAGAAGGGGTGAGGAGCAGTGAGAATGGGCTCTGGGAGGTGGTGCAAAGGAAACACCTCCTCCAGAGTCCCCCTCCCTCCCCCCAGACACATGTGCATTCATGGCTTGGTGGAACTAAAGAAGGACAGAAGAGAATCTAGTGGCTGATTGAAAAGTTACTGGTCCACAGAAATAACACTCCAAACACCGGCAACACTGTCTCACGCCATTATGTATTGAAACAAGATAAATTCATTTTGTTGAAACAAGATGAATTCAGTTTAAACCCAAGTCATTGGCTTTCGTGATTATATTTGAAAATTCCTCTCAAAGTGATACAGTGTCACACACACACACACACACACACACACACACACAAAAAAAAAAACTTTTGTGCAAATAGCTGATATTTTATGGAAATATACCCAGACATTTGCTGAAAAGACTTTATTTCTAATGAAGGTTCCAGTGACTCAATGAATTCAAAGTTAGCAACTCTTTGTGTCCTGTCTTCTTTGCTGCATTAACAGTGAAATATAAACACCATTTGTTAAGAAAGTAGTGACAATATCTGAAACTTTTTAAAAAATTAAAAGTAAAATTAACATTGGACTGGGGTAACATTGGACTGCTCTGTGGTAGAGCAAGCTTGCATAAGGTCCTGGGTACAATCCCCAGTACTGGGGGATACACACACACACACACACACACACACACACACACACTTTTATATATATATGTGTGTGTGTATACAAACACATATATAATCATGTGTATACATATATAAACATATATATGTATATATATACTTTATATATATAAGCATATAGAAACATTTTTACATTATTTATTTAAAATAAATAATGTTTATTTATTTAATAAATAAACATTATTTATTTATTAAATAAATAATGTGAACTATTCTTTGTTCTCCCCATTGTGAACTATTCTTCCCTAATATACTGTCCTAATTTGCATTTCAGACTACATTGAATTTAAGGGATTATGTACAATGGGAACCCACAATTCTAGCTGCCCTGTTTCTTGTGAAGAAACTGAATACCCCACTACCATTTCTTACTCATCTTTTCCAAGTCAAAAAGCTTTAAAATATCTTTCCAAGAAGTTGAATCAAAGCCAGGATTATATCAGGTAACCTTATTAGTCTCATAAATCATTCATTTTTATCTTCATTGAAAACTTCAAGTCTCAGGAAATAAAATGCTGATCAATCAAGGGAGGGAGTGGATTACAGAATTGAATTAATAACGACAGCATGGAAATTTATCAGTAGGCAAGATCATGTCTTTCATCTCCTTACTTTAATTGTGTGAAAATCAACTGATACTTGCTAAAAACATTTGCTCAGTCTGTTGTTGCCCTGGACCCAGGAACTTCTCAATCTTCTGCCCTCTCCTGGTGCCTTTAGCTCTACCAAATCATGAAATCGTGTTCCAGAAAAAGGGCTCTGCTTGTTGATGTCATTTAGGAGGTACAGGATCACACTTGCATCGTCCCAACTGGGGAAATAAGAATGCTAACTAATATCATTTTCATTTTGATGCCTAAAACTATGGAAATTTCCTATCTTTATATTTTATAGTTTGAATCTCTTAAGAACTGTGTAAGGTAAATTGGAACAGAAATTACTATTGTCATTGCACAACGGAGGAAATTAAAGTACACTCTAATTCAAGTAACTGACCTATCAATGGCATAGGAAGCAATTATGCTTGAAAACTTATCCTCAGGTCTTTTTCACAAAGATACCAGATTGCAGTTTCCCTGGTTAACTGAATATTAAATTCTCAAGTTGTTGCTCTTAGAAATTATAAATGAAATTTCTTATGGATTTCTTGATTTTTCTTTTAAACAATGGAGTAAACTTAACATTTCTCTTTGTTTCTCATTTATAATTTTTAGTCCTAGACCTAAAACAATGACAATTGCATATTGGTATTTATAATTTTATCTATTAAAATAATCTAATATTAACTAATTTAAACTTGATTTGTATTGCACAGTCAAGTAACTAACTTTTGAAAGCATGTTTTGATTCAGCTTTACCTTGGAATTTATTATAATTAAAATAAATTTTTATTAATTTTAAAATTTAAAAGTTCAACCATGTAAGTAGACAATAAAATTATCTTTACAAATCAGAAAGAAAAATGTATTTGTATCAAAATAGGGCTCCTGGGGTATGATTTCAAAAACTTAGCATATTAAATGATAGAGAGGTAGAAATTTGCAATTAGTCTTTATTTATAGTGCTGACTCTAATACAGATATCTTTTTCTATTTCATTTTAATATGGGGAACTGATTCATTTATAGTATTATGTATGTTATATTTAAATACGTCTTAGATGATCTCAGCTATTAGAGATCTACTGAATTTCAAAATTATTTAATTTGCAAAGAATGTAGGCAGGCATGATTTTGGAGACATACTGGTGAATCAGAAAAGAAATCCATGAATTCAACAAGATGATACTAGAGAGTACTGAACTCAGATTATTATGAATAGTTCTCTAACTAATCCTATCATTAGTGATTAATGATAGGATTATCATTGTAGGGAACTCAGTGGTTGTGAGTAGTGGAGGCTGTTACCACAGGCCTAAGACAGATAGCTGAGCAAAGGTGTGGGACTCAGGGCTTGCCCAGATGCTAGACAGAGAAACTTGTCTGTGTAGTGTTAGCAGAAATAATAGAGTCATAAATCGGCAAACACATATACAATTAGTCAGGAGAGAAAACATGAAATCTTAGCAGAAACATGATTTAAAAAGAAGCAATCTCTAATTTAATGGTTAAGCCTCTGTATGGCAGAAATCAAACCCAGACTATAGCAGTTCCGGGTTTCATGGGGCAGCTGCTGAACCTCATTATGAAGGGGAGACATTCAGCCTTACAGAAACATGCAGTGTGGAGGTGATTAAAGTACCTCCAGTACTTTGGGCTGAAATAAGATTGATTCCATCAGTTATACAAGTGAAGTTTTAAGGTATTTCTGTGTTAACAAATTTTTAAATTAAAATTGTATGAAATCAATTTTTACAAAACCAGTTCACTCCCTTTAATGAAGCACTTATGTTCAAGAACCTGGAAGCATTTCTTCTACATTTAATAACATAATAAATCTCATTTTTATTTGTTCTCTTTGCCCTTATTAAAACCCAGATTTTATTTTATAATTGTGCCCTTCAAACAAATGTTATTGGACTCCATTGAATAAACTCACTACTACCAGGAGGCACAGGTTTGGTGAGACTCAATTATTGGTCATATCAGCTGTCTGAGAGAAGTAGAGTAAATATCACAATATTTTTTATTGGAGAGGAATTTATCTTATTTCAGAAACACAGATGGATAATGGATAAACACAGTGGAAATGATCATGAATGTTGTGCTTGTGAAATTAAACAATATTATCAAAGTACATGCAAATTAGAGTACAATGGAAGACAAAATGATTGGAATATTACTAAAATTTCTAAACTTCCAAGACAACTTGATTATTTCTTTCACTTTGCCAACTGCTTTATTATTTGTAAACATTACCGTGTCCCCTGATTATCTCTTTAAACACTGCAAATTCTTCTGTTACTCATGGTTACACCAATGGAAATTAAGTACACATATTAATGATGCATTTTGAATTAAGTATATTTGGGAATATTGATTAAAAATCTGTAAACAATAAAGAAAATGATTTACAGCCACACTCCTTAGATATGATAAAGAACATGACATAATTCCAGGAATCGTTACTAATAGGATCCATTCTCAGTCATAACTATTATCCAGCTAACAGTCATGAGGTAGCTGGTTTCCAGTTCTGCTTATCACATGGAGAAGTTAATATTTATCCACTCATATATTGGTTTCATCTTTAACTTGTTATCTTCTACCATTTTAAAAAAAATTTAGATGTTGATGGACCTTTGTTTCATTTATTTATTTTTATGTGTTGATGAGGATTGAATCCAGTGCCTCACATATGCTAGGCAAGTGCTCTACCACTGAGCCACAACCCCAGCCCATCTTTTATCATTTTTACAAAAATAAATGAACACCTCTTATGTGTGTTAAAATTCAAGGGATATTCTAGGCATTAAGGATACCTCAATATAAGAAAGATAGGAATGCTGCCTTGTTATGCCTGATTCCTTTGGGATGGAAGTAGACATACTCACATTAGATGGCTCTAGTTGCTATGGCAGGAGAAAAGGTAGAAAGTGGTCTAGGAAGCCAGAGTCAGAAAACGTTATTCTTAGGATTATGGATTATGATCAGGAAAGACCTTCCTGAGAAGGTGACAGTGAGCAAAAACCTGAAGCAGTGGTTCTCCAAAGTTCATGGAAGGAGTTTCATTAAGATTACATGGGAAGTCTCAGGGCAAGGGTTGGGTTGAGCAAAAGTGTTATGATCCAGCAGTTGCAGAAGTACATTTTGGTTATTATATAAAGAACAGAGCATGTGTATTTGTTGAGATAAAGTACCTTAAAAGTGGAAGTCAGACGGCTAATGCAAAAATCCAGGTGAAAGACTAGGGCTGTTTGGGCAAAGATGAAGCAATGAATGGGCTGTGAGCTGGTGGGACACTAGAGGTATTCTGAAGATGAGACAAATAGGATTTCCTGTTGAATTGGCTATGGGGAAAATATCAGGAGTTTAATTGGAATGTGTTAAACTGTTAGGCATACAAGTTGAAATACAGGAAGCATTTCAATGTGTTATTGAAGTTCAAAGTAGACTTTTGCAAAAGAGTGAGGATCTCCAAATTATAGACAGCTTTCATTTGCAAATAATGTTTAGCCACTCTGGTCACCTGTAAAGATTTCCAGAGGACATTAAGAAAATGGTCTTAGCTCAATTTTGTCAATGAAAAAAAAAATCAATAACATTTATGGGGCATTCACTATATGCCAGGTTCTTTGCCCATTCTACATATACATTAACTTAATTTCTCCCCAACACAACTGCAATTTCACCTCAAAACTCCTGACCACTGATAAGGAAACCAAGACTTGGGTAAAAATGTGATTTCTCTAAGGTCACATAAGTCACAAAGGAAAAAACAAGGATTTAAATTGAAACTAAGCACACACATAAATAGTTGTAAATACTTCTTCATTCTATATCAGTACATGTTTACAATTAATGTCTTTTTCTGATAGCTCAGGAATGAGACATGGAAAAATTGTTGGGTCTGGAAAAGAATGTTTCTCTAAATTCCAACAAGACCAAAGTGCCTTTGAAATGATGCTAACTGGAATTAAGGATGGATAGACATACTGTGTCTAATTCAACATTAAATAGCATCTGAATTGAAATGAGTGCTACTTTTGTAAGATAGGAAATAAAAGTAGAGCTGTCAGTCTTGAGCTGCATTAATTCTGTTTTCATTCCCAGGGAGAATCTTGTGAACATTGAAATAAACTATAGTGACTTAAACTATAAGATAACTCAGCAACAAAAAGCAGTGAGTGTATCTGAGTTACTTGGTAAGCATTATTTATATCTTCCTGGATGTTCCTCTATTTTCTATTTTCCTTTCATATTTACAGCTTAGCTTATCAATGGAAGAGACCCAATCAATAGTAATGTCATTTGTCTGCTTTTTAAATCCAACATTTTTGCACTCCCTAGAAACACTGCAAACTGACCCCAAAGGCTTTGGCAAAGAAATGGCTGATGCTCAGTATTTCATACTCACATTTATATTTTATTCTCTTAATGGACAATCCTGTCATCAAGGGTACTATAATGTTTTAGCAGGAGGAATTCAGCCTCCGAATACCCCTACATGGAGTTCCACCCCAGGGTGGGTTAAAAAGAACATGAGCAAGCAAAATTGGGCATTTGGTTGAACAACCACTGCTCATTTTCTTTCATTATACATCCCCTAACCAACATACTTGCTGACTTCCTAGATCTCATTGCCTTTTCAAGGAAACCACATAGAAGATAGAAGACAGCATTAGAGTCAGGAAAAAATGACAGCACTTTGATCTAGCAGCTGAGACCCAAGATAGGGAGAAAGTTTACAAACTCTCCAAAGCTCATGAAGAAACCTATACTTCATTACCGCACTTTACAAAATTGGCAAGATCCTGAAAATGACTCATGGCAAGAAAGTAATGATTAATAAAGTAATGTGTGTGAGGAGGCACTGTTAGAATTGTCAAATTCACTGAGATAAAAAGTAAAAGGGTGATTGACAGGGACTAAACGAAGCTGGGAGTTACTGTTTAAACAGTTTCCATTGGGGACAATGAAAATGTTTTAGAGATGCATGTTGGTGATGGGTGTCAAAAAATACAAATATAGTTAATGCCATAGAGCTGTACATTTCAAAATGGTTAAAATGGTAAAATTTAAGATATGGATATTTAATCACAATAAAAACATAAACAATAAAATAAACATAGATTTAAAGACATTTTGAAAAAAGCAATGCTGTTTTGATATATTTTAGTTCAATTAAATATTATAAATGCCTCAAAAGAAATAAAGTTTGGACTCTTAAATTCCCAGTTGCTTGGAAATTAATTTTCCAGAAAACTCTAATGTCATAAGGATGTCTCATTTTTTTTTCATTTAACACATAGAATTGGATTTGAAATTATCTAGGAACCTTAATGAATTTACCTTAGGCTTCGTATCTTCCAAAGTCTGAGTTAGAAATTTGGAAACAGATTTTTTTGTTTACCTTAATTCTCTATTTAAAGGTAGTTTGGACTAATATTATTGTCACCTGAATTGCTATTACTTTATTTGTACCACATTTAATGGTAATACAATTAACCTATCTTCATATAATGTTATTCATTAGTTTACAATAATTTCACTTCTAACAATGTTTAATTTTCTTTCTATGAAAAACCATGACAATTTATGTATTGATTTTGATTACAGCAGATGTTGGCGGTCAGCTGGGCCTGTTTTGCGGAGCCAGTATGATCACAATTATAGAAATTATTGAATATTTATTTACCAATTTCTATTGGATATGCATTTTCTTTTTGCTGAAGATACCTGAAATGACTCAGAGGCCTCCTCCATCTCAGAATCATCTGGGGAATAAAAATCAGATAGAAGAGTGCTAATGTTCAGTTAGAATAAAAGTCTTTGTTTTTTTTCTTCTCAATACCTTCAGATTTTTTATGGCTAATTCATTGTTCTGTTACTTTATGCGATCATTTTGATAGTTCAATAAAAGTCATTGAAACTATCTATATGTACTTCTATTTGTTTTAATTATAGACATAAAAGAAAAAGGCCTTGTCTACATTTTTTTTCCTTAAATGATTAAGGGTTAAATAATTTGACTGTAAGCAATAAAATGGAAGGGACTATTTTGAGATGGTGTTAATCTTCAGCTTGTTACAGTACACACCATTCAAATAATTCCTCATACTTTTAAATATATGAATGTTACCTCTTTAAAGATTGATGAAAGAATCCAGGGAGTTTGTGTTTTGAAAGGCAAGATTACAGCTCTCTTACCTACATAAAAAATGGAAGAGATTTATGAAGATTTTAAAACATGGTGTGTACAAAAGACCTTAGGTTTACAACAAGATTATCAGCAGTAAGTCCCAGTGATATACCCTGAACCAAACATCAGTAGATATCATAACAAAGATAGAACCCCTTATGCAACACACCTTGTAAGAAAAGACAGGTCATATCATAACCTGAATCTGTGAATGACCTGCTGGGAGGCTGCTATGTATATGAATATTAACCTGTAAAAACCAAAAAGACTTGAGTCAACTAACAGAAAGAAAATGTCTGACAGAAAAGCAAGAAAAGTAATAAACTGGAATAAGAAATAGCAAAAACAAGTGGAATTTTTGAGACAGTTGAAAAGGAATGGTATACAGACAGAAAACTGAAAAGACAGTTACAACAGACCCAGTGATGCTTCATTGTCACAATTTGTTTTTCTTGTTATTTGGGGTTTTTCGAGAAAGGAAGAAATCCCATCTGAACTTGGGCAATTATTTAGTCTAAAGGGACACATCGAATTCATCAATTTACCCCCCTTGGATGAATTTAAATATGGTGATACCAAAGTATAACAGAGAGAAAGGCTTTAGAAGCTGGAGCTATATATGCCACGAGCCTAAGTGGTCTCAGAACCCCCAGGAACAGCTTCTCATGGCTGGAATAACTGTGGGTGATTGTGAAAGTCCTCATTTGACTCAATCAATTAAAATTGAGTGAAAATTGAAATTGTCCCAGTTGAGACTTTAAGCCAATATGGCAAAGCCCTTAGTGGCTTTGCTTTTACACTGGAAAGCATTGGAGCTAACAAGCAATTGCTGCTTGAACAGGAAGAAAGCAAAAGATACCTTGTGGTGGACTCAACTGTACTCAAGCCCATACATGAAATGCATTCATTATACAAATAGAGGGATTTGCCATTCCTGGCTTATAGTCTTAGGTCAATTTCACTTTTCATTCAGTTTTAATTGGTCACATTAAACAAGGATCTTCACAAATTCCTGCAATAATTCCACCACATTAGAAACTATTCCTGGAAGTTGTGATTGCTCAAGTCTTTGGTGTAAATTCTTTATTGTTGTGAAGTGTGTATCTCATCTCTAATCATGAAATCTTTCCCTTTCTCCTGGATATTTTCTCCAGTTTCTCATTTCCTCTTCTGCCCCACTGTCACTATCTAATTCCCACCTGGAATTTGAAGCCAATCCCTTGGAATTCTGCATTACTCCTCAGCAATTTATAGCATGTGCTGGAACAAGTTTTTAAAATGTTTCTTGTATGATGACATTTCTCTTATTCCAAATCATTTTTGGCTTTAAGTTTCTTATCATCTTTTATTAGCTATCTATTTTAGATATTCAGCATCATCTTTTACCTCTTTTCCCAACATACTTATTCAGACTACTTCTTTCTCATAGTTGGTCTCATTTCTCCTCTTTTCAGTTATATCTTTCTCTTTCATGGAGATACCTCCTTTTGCCCATTTTGATGCTTCCCTGATACATTTCTTCCATTTTTTTCAACCCCAATTTAATTACTTTTAGTCTAAACATAATACGGTATTTAATCGACGATACTAAGCATTTTTAAAAATTTATTTGAATATTGCAATAAATCAATAGATTCAATTAACTAATTGAATACATTTTTACTTAGTGATGAACAGAGGATTGAATATATACAATTTATACTTTCTCTTCTTATTTGTTGATTATTTTTAAAAAATTAAAAATTCAAGAAAATAATAATATGAACAGCCATATATTCACCCTTCAGATTTAACCATTTTATGTTTTGGCTTAATTCCTTCTAATTTTTAATATATAAAATTATTCTATGCATCTCAATCTGAAATTTACTTTTCAATGTCATGTTTAGAGTGTATTCATGCTAACACATAAAAGTATAGTTTACTACATTATTGCACAAAATTCCCTCAATAAATATGCCTCAATAAATAAAAAAATTTGCCTCAATTAAAATTGCCTCAATAAATAAATATTTATTTTTTCATTTTCCCTATTCATCTAAATTTATATAGTTTCAAATTTTCATCTCTAGCAAAAATTCGAAAATGAAACTGTACATTTCTGCTTGGTTATATGCCCAGGAGTCAAAATGCTGACCTCTTTTTTTTTGTTTGTTATATGCATCTTCGCCAATTATCTCTGACATAGGTGATCCAATTTATGCAACCAATATTGGCATAGAATTCAGATAGATCCATTATCTTAGGAGACTTTCAAGGCTTGTCCCCCCCCCCCAATCTGATTCTGATACATTTGCATTTTTGCTATAAGAATATAGGGGGCACTGTTGAATGGCAGGCAGGATGGAATTTGAGATGTCCTAGACAATAGGTAATTGTGGAAAAGTACTAGAAGCTGTAGCTGAAAAATGAGTTGGTATTCAAATAGTTTTGGTTGAATTCAGAATATACAAAAACTGCTTGAGAGGTTATGATGCCAAAAGAGTGAACAGAGTAAAAGACGGTCCCACTAAAAGCTCTATCCTCTTTAACAGGATGCAAGAATGTACTCTTTGGCTCATTAGTAGGTACCAGTCAATTTACCTAATATAGATTTTAGCCACATTCTTGGGTTATTTCACTGCAATGTGAGAAAAACAATCAGGGTGAATGTCACACATTCTAGATGGAAAGAGTTTTCCACAGCAGAATTGATTCCAGAAAAGTGTTGGTGAGTGGTCTGTGTTTTTAACTATTCTGCAGGGGTTCCTGAAATTAATTACTGTATAATAAATAGAGAAGAAGAAACTATACTCAGAGAAAGAAATGAATATTTTAAAGCATTCAGAAAATTAATAAGTGATAGGGGTCAGCAAGGCTGGCTTTGGAAAAGATGCCTAATGTGGGGACTGTTGTTTTTTGTTACTCATCTTAATAAGTCATCCCATTATTTAATTCTGAAAGACTGTCAGAGTTTCACTACTGCCTTGGCGACCTAACTAATCCTGGCATGTAAGTTACTACCTTTAGACTTAACTAGATGGAAAGTTTTCTTCTAAGATTTGGCAGGAATGAATATCTGTCTTCAAAATAATAATAAGGGTGGGGAATGGAAATAACAAAAATCAGATAGAAAAGATTTGTATCTTTAAATCTTACTGAACTAATATTTACATTATTATACGAGAGGTACAAGTTGCGGTTTGGGGTAAGTAAGAAAAATATCATGTACTGCCAAAGATGCTAACTAATTTCCATAATTAATTTAATTACCCCATAACAGTGCCCAGCAACTTTTATAAAAATCCATTATCATATCATTTGTTATATGCCTGTCTTAATTAAATGCCTGTAGAAAAAAGATCATAAGTACATAAACTCATGTCAAATTTAAATGACATTTAAAAATTTCATAAGCTAACAAACCATAACATACCATTCATTTACATATGGCTTTGTCAATGGCTATTGAGATTTCATTAATAAATTAATGTTTTTCTAAGTCACTAGCAGAGTTTGTCACTTTAATAAAAGCAAGTCAAGCTCTTTTTTATGACATCTTGTAGATAATCAGCTGTGTGATATGACCTGGATATTTCTTTCCTAACTACTGGCTGTGAGGTACTTATTGAGTGGATGATCAGCTCAAACTTCATACTTTTTAGAAGCATATGGCCACAGAAGTTGCTGCTGATGCTTTGGATGAAAAATAGAGTGGTTATGTTTTCAAATTATCTGCGAAAATGACAGACAAGATTTCCCCATGAAGAGATTGTCTTGACCTATGATCATAGCTGCCTGCTACTGAGTAAGGGGTATTCCTGTTATGGACCAAGGAGAACTGGAGGGAGAAAATGCAAATCTCTTCAGGGTTGCATTGTGGATGTCAATCTGATGGTTCTCAATATGGTTACTGTGGGGGAAAAAAAAAGAGGAAAGAATATTTGTAAAGGACACTACTATGTCTTGTCACCTAGGACCCCAAAGAGAGAACAGAATCCTCAGACTTTTCAATCTACATCTGCCTATATGTTGTCCAAAAACCTTGAAGCAAACAAGATAAGAAACCTAGGACCAACACAAACACCAACACATTACTCTGAAGAAACAGTGTAGGAAAAATAAGGAACAGGCTGTAAAATATGCTAAATCTTTGGCCAAAAGAATGAAGGAAGCCAAAAAAAAAAAAAAATGCCCAGAACAAATTGCCAAGAGTCATAGGTTGTCCTTTCGGAGAGCTTCTACTTTGAAATCTGAATGCAGTCAAAAAAAAAAAAATAAGAATAAGAAATTTAAAAAATCAAACAACCTCTAAAAAATTTTAAATAAAATAAATAAAAACAAGTCAAAGCCACTTTTAGGCTACATGCTCCTTACTTAGCTGATTCCAAAAAAATTTTGTTTACAAAGGAAATGCATTATATCATTCTTTCTCCTGAATTATAGTTTCTCCTGAAGTAGTGCCCTCACTTAGAAAAAAAATATTTTTAAAAGAAGAATAAAAAAGAAAAGAAAAACCAACACATGATTAAGTTTCAGAATATTTGTTGCAAACACCAAATGTTCAAAGAAGTGAATAATTCCAGTTATTGAAGTACTTGAAAGAGAGTTAAATCCTAAAGATCAGTTTTCCAAACTTAGTTAAACATTAGATAGAGGCCTACATGAAGCTTGATTACAAATGTTAGTAGCTGCACAGAGGTGTATTTTT